GTGGGCTTTTGGTGGTACTCGGCATCGTGGTCGCCGATGAAAGGCCAGGAGGTCAAACATTTCCAGCCACTTGGCTGAGGAAGAGTTTTAATGAGGGTTGTAAAGGCCGGGACGGTCATGTAAAACAACCACTCTTTCTCTTCATCCAAAATTGTTTTGTGTGTTGTGTTTTGTTAACTGGGCATGTGGCAAATCGCACAGCCCGTTCCATCAACATACATACAATGTTTCTGCTCCCGTATTCACTTATATTGGGGCGAGGACGCCCCTCTCCCTGAGGGGGACGAATGTTACGCGCACCAGCCTGATGTGGGAGACGTCCTACTAATGGCCCTTGGTGTGGGGGACGCCCTGCCCAAGGCACGTACTATTCCTCACCCAATGTAACCTTTATCCATATTAGAATACGGGAGTAGGAGGGGTGGTCCCGCCTAGGTGCCCTGTAAGGACCTAGGTGCGGCGAGCTGGTCAGCGGCTCAAGAGGCGAGGAACCCCACCCATCCTATCGTATCCGGTAGCTCAGTATGACGAGCGTACTGACCATTCTCCAGATGTCGCAAACCGATGTCGTCGATGCTCGTTCCCTGCGGTCCAGTGCTGCGCTCCACTCACTCGCCAAGCAACTAACGATGAAGACGAGTCGTTGAATCGACGAAGTCAGTGCCCAACATGGGCGCGCGCGGGTCAGTCGGTCAACGAAACGGGAATCGAGCTCGGCGTCGAGCTGGGGGTATGTGCAGCGGTGCACAACCCCAAGGACAACTGACCCGGAGGGTCAGGAGGCAAAGGCACACGGAAACGAAAGTGCTCGTTACAAAACTGCTCCCCTTAGACCACGCTCAACCTCCACACATTCACAGCACGACCGTTCGCAACCGAACACCCGCCGTTCAGACCGCTAGAACCAAGAACGGACGAGTGGGGGGCGGAAAGAGAGGGGAGAGGGGGCACCCACACCCCAAACACTCCCTCCTAAATACCCCCGCCAGCTCCAAAGACACTACACTTCAGCGACCCTTGGATAAACAAACAGACACATCAAGGAAAAGGCCCCAGTACCCCTTGTACTCCTCACAAGTTCCTATTGACCTTCTCCAAGTTGACCCTTTCCAAAGGGTCACACAATACAATCAAAAAAATCACTTTTGAACACTACAACATCAATCAACAGCTGTCAGCGCCCCTTGGCAGCACTCCCATGAAGATGTACTGCTGTACATCTTCTTCCCACTCACGCTGCGAGGAACTAATTGCTGTAGGTTCCTGAAAAATCAAATTAGGGGGAATCCCCCTATCCAAACAAAAAATACACCTAATGCACTTTTCATCCCAAGTACATCCATCACACCCCACAGTTCCGTAGTGGGTAGTGTCTCCCGGCTGCCTAACCCATTCCACCTCATTCTCCCCCATGTACGACATACGGGCCCTCAACTGTACCCCCTGCATCATCCAGCTTCCTTCCGGGCCTGGCAGCTCCACCTCCCACTCAATCATTACGTAACACTTCCATCTCGATGTGGCGACCACCCTCCAGTACGCCCGGGTGGCGCGCTCCACCATCCCCACAGGCAGCCCCCCGTCTCCCTTGGCGAGGCCGTCCACGCACCCCTCCCCGGCCTACGCAAACGGCGCGGGTGGGCTGTCCGGGCCGTCGCGCTCGGCGGCCATCCAAGCATCCCTCTCGGAGATGCTCCAAACGCCCTCGCCATGCCAATTCGCGGCGAAGACGCTCCGCCGGAGCCGATCGCCCAACCGAACGTTGGGGATCGCCGCGACCCAGTTGGCTCGGACGGCAAACAGCTGGCCGTTCCGGTGCCTGACTCGCCACCGAGTCGTGGCATCAAAAGCGGAGTGTAGCCAAAAAAGGGGCGTTCCGGGGCCGGAGACCATGGCCCGTGCCTCCGCCCCACCGAGCCCATTGCGGCACGCGAGCACCACTTTTCCCGCTTCGTCCGGGCCGACCAAAGGCTCGCCCGGGCCCCTTCGTCCCTGCATGCACGGATCCACAAATATCCCCGGAGGGAGAGAAAGCACTGCTCCGCCATGGAGCATGGCGGAACCGGAGGGTCCGCCCACACCGAATGCGAGCACGTTCGACCCGCCTGCGGAACGTGGGGATGCTCCGGCCATGGCGAGGGAGGGCTTCCGACGGTCCCTGCACGGTCGGGGAGGCTGGGTTGTTGCGGCGCGCCGAGCAGACCGGGCACAGCGGGCGTAGGCGGGGCGCAGGCGCAACCTGCGGGGACCAGATGCAGGAGGGCGCGGTCACGTCCGACATACGGTACATTGCACGAAATGTCAAAAGGGTGGTCTCCCGTACGGGTGCAAAACCACAAAGTACTGTTAGCAGCCGCACACAACGTCCCATCACGCCTCACTGGACCCCTATACCCTGCCAATACCTGTCCTGTCAAGGTCCTAGGACCTTTTGCAAAAGTTCAGGTCCATTCAATGACACCCCAACGGTTCATGGTCTTTTTCAAAACGGGTCAGGAATTGGCCGTTTTTCCCTACGAAAGTCACTCAAAAGGCCCTTACAAACCGGCCAGCCTCTCACTCAGGGTCCCTCACCACACGCCCTGCACACACCGTGCCTCTTTTTCCCCGGCTAATAGTACTGGACAATCTACCATAATCGCATACTAAACCCAATTCTGTACACCCAAATTCCATCACCGTCAAACTGTATTGTATCCTGTCAGCATGCGGATCCAGCTGATTGGTTTTTGTCCTTTTACCTTGACCAGTTCACAACCCAGTCACAGTCGTCCGTGCTGCCCGTAGAGTGCTCTTCAATTGACGTCATTGGTGCTCATTCTGGACGGTTCTGATGAGCGACATTGCAAAACAGCGAGATGGAGGACATCTCAGCTGTAAATGCATCAATTCGTGTGCACTGGAGAGAAGCTGAGCGTGCATACGTTTGCCTTGATCATTCAGCAGTTGCAGGACCGCTAAATGTAACCGTATGTCATGCGGTTCAATGTGATTTCTGCTGAGCACATTGACCTTTCCTTTCTCTACGGTTTTCTCTCGATTACAGTGGTGGCCATTTACTTGAGCAGATTGGACTGTAATCGAACAGTATCAACTCACATCGACGCTGATCTCACATTGGTGGGTCCTGTAGGTTTGCATTTCATGATTCTGTTGACAACTACGCCGCTACCATGCTGAAGGAAGAAAGCATTTTGCTGGTCAAGAGCGTAGCTGTCCTTCATGCACATGTCTGTCGCCGTAATACTTGAACCGGCGAAAGAGCGATCAATGGCCTTGCGGTAGCTGCGCAAGACCGATGTGCTGGCCACTGCAACATCTAACAGCGCATGTAGCGAACGGTGCACATTTGCCGATGTGTACGCTGCCATCGCATCTGAGAAGCCTCGTCATCAGGAAATCTCGCACAACAAGACGAGGAGGTTTTTAGCCTCAGCCTCCTACTTTGCCCAAACAACGTAGCGCCCAGGATTTGTGCATTGAAGTCTAATGTACAGCTCGCGACGAGAAAGGGCTTGCAAGCGGAAAGATCAATTCAGCGTTACGCATAGCAAAATCGTCTTGGTGGCAACCCTAGGTGAGAATCGCCCCAGCGTCGTGCGAACTGTGAATTGAACTGGTGGCGGGAGTTGTTGGGATACATATTGGCGAATGCCACTGTACATTTGGGAAGAGTTGCCTGGGTGCTTCGCCCCGCATTGCACAAACAACTCATCACAGGCACAGCGCAAGCTAACACAACCCTCGGATGAAGCGCAGGCTGGTGCCACCAGTTGTATCCAGTGATTCGCTAGTTTAAATGGACAAGAGAGCTTGCAATACAAACGCAGGTGTTCAGAAAAAAAAACGCAATGTTCTGTCGCTGCATTTCCCTCCTGATCCTTCCGACCATGCAACCGTCTGCCAAAGAAAGGTAAACTACGCCTCAAAGTGCGAAATGTGCTTGGGTCACTTCCATGCCAAATTGGGGCCAACACTATTATTATGCAGCACTCGGTTCCAGCTTAAGCTGTTGATATATATAGCAAGTTTATATAATATACATAGCAATATATATAACAAGGTTGTTATTCCCATGTGCAACACATTCCACCAATCTTACCCCCAACTGGCTGGCAACTTCGCGCTGTCAATGAGCCACCCTCTCGGCTCCATTTTGACCATGAGCGGAAGATGGGCTTTCGCTGTTGATGAGGCGAGAGCGGCTGCTCCTGCCAACCTTCCTGTTAATGGCGCGAACCCCCTTGGCACTCTTTCCCACATCCCCGGTAAGCTGCTTCCACCCGTGCCCAAAATTCTCCTTCCAGGAACGCTCCTCCCCCCTCAGTGGCCGATTGTGCAACCCCCTCCTAAGCACCTTCACCATCCATCGCTCAAAATACTTTCTTTCCAGTCGCCTGGTATTCTGCATCATCACCTTCTCCACCACGGCCACAAATTTGGATGGCTTTGTTTTCTTCTCTCTGTGCTTCCCTCGAAGCCACCCGCAGATGCCGAAGCCAATGATGAGGTGTTCAACAAGGGTGGTCAGGAGGGCCACGCCCTCCACACACAGCATCGCTGTGCCTATCCTCAGCCGAAAGTCACGATCTTCGTTTGGGCCCGCCAGTAAGACTATGCCAAGGGCAAAGGTGACCACGTCTGCCGCCTCAGCCAGCAAGGTGACGGCCATGTCGAGTCTGGAAGGGAAGGGCCTTGACAGGCGGGTGAGGAGGAGAGCGAGCAGTGAGATGCAGAAGAGGGCAATCACCTGGGCCATGCTGTTGTCAGAATCCACACCTCCGACCAGGCATCCCAGAAGGACGATCTTCATGTAGTCCAGGGGCCTGGTGAGTATTTGCAGCTGGTAGCGGTACAGCACGTACGGCCCTCCTGGCTTGCTTGTGTGGAGACGTTTGAACTGGGGTATCATGAACAATGGCCTGCCCTTTATCGGGATCAGCTTGCCACGATCTACCTTTCCAGTTTTCGGATCTTTATCATAGGTTGCCCCGCTGCAGCCACACACAGAGAATTGCTGAACATCGCAGCCCTGGTTCTGATCAGCTGCACCCAAGACACTGCTTGAATGAACTGTCATCATCGGGCGTGAGTATATGTTAGTGCTGTTGACATCTGGGCAATGAACATTTGTTCATATTCTGCATCTACACCGGCGCAGTTTCCAGTTTCTTGGGCCAGCAACTGCCCGGGGACAATGCGTGTTGCTGCCAGCCTGTCTTCATGGCCACAAATATGTTCATTCATCATGGCATGAGCACACACTGAGACCATTAAGTCGAATTATGGTTGGGACTATTGTGCAAGCACGGCAAAAGTGTTGCAAACAATGAAGGCACGCAACATGCACAGCTTGGGCAACACAAAGTTGACTAAACAACGATAGTGAAGGCCCCTGTTGAGAAGAAAATGTACAGTGGATGTGCCTATCAGCACCCAGCCACCTTCAAACAGATGCCAGTATGGATAACAGGCAGCATGCGCTGCTGTCACGAAATGTTCAAATTGTAACAATCATGGGCAAAGCAGCCACGGGGACTAGGGCCTGCTGGGTTCTGCATTCCAACACATGTACAAAGCATGCCAAAAACTGCCACACCATTTTGCTGAATCTGCAGCACAATGGGTGCACAACCTTAATAGGCACAGCGCTTCTGATGTCATAACTGGCAGATTTCATCTCCGCTGGCTGAAAGAAAGGTTGTTTGCTTCAGTGAATGAATTTCCAGGTAATTCCAACGACAAGTGAGGAGGACAGTGTGGTGTGCAACTGCAGAGCTTCTGCTGCTCACCTGCGCATCACAGGGTGCCCACGGTTTTCTTCAAAGAGAACTCCATACCGATGAATGAAACGGCTATCCTGCTTTGTAGTGGCCACCCATGTGCAGGATGGCTGTGGCCCTCCCAGCAACGGTGATATGCAGCACTTCTCCCACAATCCACAGAAGCAGTCATGACACCCCGGGCAGTCCCTCTGAGGCTCCTCAGGCTCCTGTTCCCCATTGGGTCGCGGCAGCACAGCCATTCCCTCCTCTTCCTCCTCTTCTGGGCACAAACAGTGCTGCCTCAAAAAGTTGACACACAATGGTCAAGATGCAACGAACAAAGGACAGGTAGGAGCATGCACTGCTTGCATTGATAGCATGCAACACTGGCCAGTGCGCAAATGTGCAGCACGCTGTGTTGATTCGACAATGAATGTCCACAACGACCATTTGCGCACTCAGTGATACCTCTGGTGGCACATTTGCCTGAAGTGGAGGTGTCAATGGAAGCCAGACCACCAAACAGATAGCGATCCACTCAGAAACGTCAGCTTCATCAACATTGCCCCAGACACTGACACATGCCAGCTTTGAGCACACACTAGTATCCTTGTCCAGGAGTACATCCAAATAACCATCCTTAAGTAAGTCTGCTCCTCAACCTTACCTCCAGTGGAGGCACCGTTCTCGATTGGTGGCAGTCCATCTGGAAGAGATGGCTCGTTGAAAGCATTCTCCGTCACCTCGGAATCCTCAGCAACTGTTCCCAGCGAAGTGCCATGAACGCTGCGCGAGCTCCCTGAGCTTGTGGTGCGCACAGTTCTGATGTTGCGAGACATTCCACGGGGCAGTGCTGACAGATTGCGCTTCATGGTGCCAGCCTGCTTAACAACGTTTTTTCTGACTGCCTTGACAGTCCCAGTCACCAGGACCTTGACATTGTGGTCTGGGAAGACTTCATCGTCCAAGACAAGGTTAGCCTTCCTTCTTCTTGTGGGTTGGCTGTAAAAGAAAGCCCAAATCATGTAGAAAGTCCACACTAGGAATGATGCTGGGATCAGAACAAGCAGCCACGTGGCCAGAAGCGCATCGCCTGCACATCGCACAAAACAGCTGGTATTTTTGTTCTGACAATAAACCAGTTCAAAGGCTTGAACTGGAGGAAAGTAGAAAAACAAAACCTTCGCTGACAAAGCTCAGACAGGGCATGTTACGTATTACGATGCCCCTCAAAGACAAGATGACACTTCCGAACGGACCTGTCACAGCGACTGACACTGCTGGGTCATGCTTTTGGTCGCTTCTTCTTCTTGGTGAGTACATTTATGCTTTACACACTGCACAAAGGACACAGGCAGCATTGGGGCTATTGAGGACATGCAGCGTTCAACGATGACCAAAAGCATGCTGCATGGAACCACCTTGACCAAATCTAACAGGCAAACAGAGCACTGTGCAGGGCTCACCATTGTGTTGACAACAATGCTGTTGTGAAAATCCACTCACCCAGACCTCCTCTATAAAGTCCTGCTATGGCGATTGTGACTGCTGGCACAGCCCAGAAAGCAAACATAATTTCCAGACGTGGAACGGCAAGCATCCAGGGGACTGGCCTCCGCCTGCACAGGCAGCAGCTCAGCAGCAGTGCATGTAAGAATACAAGAAGGAGGAACGTGGCGCCGATCCACAACAGGACCCTGAGAAGGTGCTCCATTGGGTCTTCATCTTCCTCCTCCTTCATCTCACTCTGAAAATCATGGAGACAACAGTGAGATGCTGTTGACAGCATTCTATTCCCAGTTCATGGCACCCATCAGTGATGCAGAAAGGCAAACATTTTCCGCCCTGAATCCATGAGAAGCAGAGTAAGATATTGTTTATGGTATTGTAGTGTATAATCCTTTTCCACATCGTGAAGTTTCAGTGTTAAGATTTTCGCTCCACAATTTTGTGACAGACCATTACTTGGGGCTCCACATCAAGGTCACAGCCAAAACAGTGACTCCGCTCAGTTCGCATGGCCTCAAATGCCAGTTTTCCGCCAAAGCAACTCCTGCATCTGGGGCCACTAGACACCACGAGCAGTCCAGAGACCCTCACATTGTCGCTGGGGCTGCTCCACATTTTTTTGGCACCGCTACATGTTTATTATTGCTCCGCATAGAACAGGCCAAACGCTGCTTTACGATGTGGAAGGGTATGATAATATACAATATCCAGCAATGGATTGGATTGACAATACTTTGCCAGTTCAATGGGCAGCACAATGTACATGGACACTGGGCATACAGATCCTGATAGCGCGCTCTGGCCCAGATTGCCAACTTCTTCACAGTTTATTCATAGAAAAATATGCATCATTTTGGTGTCAGAATTTCAGGCGCATTTGCCAATGTGAGACACAAACATTTAACGATTCTGTGTGAAAATTGTGTCTGTGTGCATGAATCTAGTCAGGGCGATTCACTGTATCAGCAAAGGCAGGGTTAAGATGGCCACACCTCCAGCTCGTTGAAGTCGTCTTCATCCCCATCTTCCTCTCGGTCGATTCCGACAGCAGTGACATTGCCATTGCTCTGCAAAATGCACATTTGGAACCCAGATCGCTTGCTCTCAGGAGAAAACAACTTGATATTAACAAAAATAAAGGATAAGTTCTGTGGTGAACACACACTAAGCAGCAGGCACCCAGCTAGCGACGATTCAGCAGCATGTTTTACTACAATGTCAGACCAGGAACAATGTCTATAGACATTGCACAAGCCCTTGGGTGGGCAGGAACATCCAGGCAGAGTATTCCAGGCTGGAGAAAAAACACTGACACAACACCTCCCTGTGTCCATGCAAAGCAACCATGGAAGACATTGTACATCCTGATTTCAGACCTGGGCTCACCCATGCTGGCACCCACCTCAAAAGGTGAGTTGACATCGAACACAGTCCATTGCATCTCGCCAGCAAAAGCAGCATAATTCTCAGGGAAGTTCTGGATGGCCACCAAACTTGTCATGAACACTTTCTGCGCCTGGCCTAGAATGTTCAGAAACCCACCACCTCCACCACCACCACCACCACCACCTCCACCTAGATGCACAGCCACAATGATCAGAGCTACAAGCCCTCATCAATACCATGCATCAAAAGAATGGCAGTCACATGACAAACACCTCACCACTGATGCAAGAAGGTACACATACGTCATGTGCTGCAAGTCAATTTCCAAATTGTCAGGACAGGGCCGTCTGAGCTTTGTTGCAGGGAATCAGTGCGCTCAATCGGTACCAGAGATGTGGCAGCTTGCTTAGTGTGCCCAAATTTACTGTGTTAGCGAATGTGTGCATGGTGGAAATAAATATACCACATGGTTGCATTTGTAGCTCTCTTAGGAAATTTGATATGCCAACACAATGCAGGAATCCACCATATATCACTGGCAATGGCCATCATAAACCCATTTGGCAAAAGATGTCCGATTCACATGAAAGAATCACTAGCACAAGGATGCACTGCAGAAAGGGCAAGCAGTTGTTCTATTTCCTGCCATTCTATTGCAGATCTTTTCCTTGTCATCGAAATGCAACACAACACACTCAGCGAAGGGGTCAGGAAAACAAACCAAACACTCCCGAGGAGCCTCTGCAGGACGCCTACCTGACATCGACGTTGCTGCAGCAGCTGCAACCATTACAGAGGAAGCAGTCCCCAGGGCCTTGGCACCGGAAACATCAGGTGGCTGTTCCTGTGGCTCTTCCACAACAACCTCATCACCTCTCAGCACAATTTGCCTCGTGGCAAGACGTGCTCCCATTTCCTGTGTTGCACTTCCCCCAGTTGGCCTGTACCTTGCAATTGCACTGCCGCCCTGTTCATTAACATTGCCCGCAAAATCCCTGAAGGCCCTCTTTGCCAGTGTCAGCTTTATGTCTGCCGGAATGCCCACTTTAGGCCGTGCCACAATTAGCAGTTGCCGGCTTCTTAAAACATACCTCCCCCTGGCATTCTCTGCACCCTGAACTGTAAAGACGTTGCTGAAGTCGAATTCCACATCTGAGCTGCATGCTGCTGCTGCCTTGATTAGTTTCGCTACTGTGGCATTGCTAGTCAAATCCGTTATACTGGCATTGTACACACTACTGGGTAGGTTGGCGTTGCAGGACACTCCTGCCTCAGGAATTGGTCTCACAGGCTCGCTAAAATTCACACGAAATCGAGCGACTGGGCTGTTCACA